GGGATTGTGGCGTAGCCATCCCCCCTGGGGGGTGATTTCTCACATTCTGTCTCTCTGTCTCTCTCTGTCCTTCTGGCGAGTGCATGCACCCTATAGCAAAAACTTCTCAAAAAAAAAAAAATCACTTTGGGCATGTGTGCAGGCGTGCCCAAAATCCCAAGAGAATTGGGGGTGATTTCTTGCTTTCTGTCTGTGTCTCTCCGGTGAGTACATGCGCCCTATAGCAAAAATCTGTCTCTCTAAATAAATAAATAAAATCTTCTTAAACTTTAAAAATGTGAATAGTGTACTTGAAAAAATGAATTTTCTTTTTTTAAAGTTTTTTGCTATAGGGCCTGAATGTTCACTAAAGAAACAGAGGGGGAAGGGTGAGAAATCACCCCCTGGGGTGGAAGACCACACTATAATCCCTTCTCCTCCATTCTTTCTGGATTTTGGACATATACACACATGTGCCCAGTGTGATTTTCTTTCTTTCTTTATTTTTTTAAAGAATTATTTTATTTAACTTTATTTATCATTATTGTTACTTTCCAGTTTGATCAGACAGACACAGAAAGAGAGGGAAAGTTAGAAAGCAAGCCACCAGATTCAGTACTTGAACCATGGTCCGCCATGTGGGAGTCCAGCGCCTTTAACCACTACACCACCTGCTGGTCCCGACCCAGTGTGATTTTCAAACCACCTGAACTCACTGGGCAGGTGGGATCCAGCTTAACCTCCATGTCATCTGCTGGCTTACTTTTAAATTGTTTTTAATTTATCTTAAATTAAAATTCAGAAGGCCACCTGTGGTAGTGGTTATTACATCAAATGAAGCCGTTCCATCTTACTGTAGTTTGTATATATAAAGGATGTTAATTTTTATATGTAAATTTTATACTCCATTTCCTCACTGGGTTTTCTTGCTGTTTACAGTAGTTTTTCCATTGATTCACTAGGGTTCTAATTTTCTTTGCATGCCGGGCACGTGTTCATGATTCAAGTCAAATGTCCCTTTCTCAGAACCCTCTTCCCGGAGCACCCGGCTTAAAGTAGCCCTGCTACCAGTCCCTCCACCACATGGCTCTCATTCCTTTCACGGAGCTTATTACAATCTGAAATGCTCTTATGCAACTGTTCACTTCTTTGTCCTTGGTCCCCACTGAGAACATCAGCTCGATTTTGCTCACCGCTATACCCTCAGAGCCTAGCCGATACCTATAGTAGATTCATGGCAAATATCAGTTCAGATCAATGAAACCAATCATCCAGATCAACCGGGAGAGCTGGAATGCCTCTTTGCTATGCTGAGGTGTTTCTCCTGTCTTCCAGCAGGTGGCGCCAAAGCCACACTTGCTTCTTCACGGAGGTGGGGGCCTTTGGGGGGTGTGCTTGGTGTGACTGAGGGCGGCAGGACAGTTTGAGGGAGAGGCGGGGTTCCTGGTAGTGAGACTGGACTCAAGCGCAGAAGTCGCTGGCACTTCTCCCAAAGCCTAGGTGGGTATAAGCTGTCCAGAAGGGACCTAGAGCAGCCAATGACCCAAGGGATTTCAGGATTCCTGATTACTTTCCCTTTCTCCATCTGTCCTACCCTCAGCCTTCCTCTGAGAACTCAGCAGAGGGTTGTTGAAGAAGAGAGCATGTTTGGGACCAGCAGATGGCATAATGGTTATTATCACTGGACTCCTGCGTAGTCGTTCATGGTTCAAATCCCAGACCCAGTGGCTTAGCCTTCACATCGGGTGCATGTGTGTGAATGCCCAAGATCCTGAGAGGAGAACAGAGAAGGGATTGCAGCGTGATTTCTTGCTTTCTGTCTTTTGCCCTGTAGCAATAATTTCTCTCTCTAAAAAAAAAAAAAGAAAGAAAGAAAGAAAAGAAAGAAGAAAAAAAAGAGCAGTTTTCTGTGAGCTTGAATCTGGAGAGAGGCAAAGGTTTTCACAGAACTTTTGGGAGGGCCTGAGGCCCCGAGAGGAGTGTCATAGTGGGTTAGTGAGAGTTGGGTCTAGCTCCTAGCCAAACGCTCGCCAGCCAAAGTTCATATCCACGCAGTGAACTTGCCCCACCCACCACACCTGGCCCAGGGCTCGGTGTGGAAGACTATGGTGCAGAGGGGCCTGGACTCTTACAGCTGTCCCACGGGGCAAAGGGCAGAACCGCAGAGGCTTGCTGGATCCCAGACACACGGTCGGATGGACGTTTGTCAGGTGGCACAGGAGCAGAGGTTCCAGGACCAGGCAGGTGGCCTGCAAGAAGGGCTGCCCCTGGGCCAGCTGGTGAGGCGGTAGTTCAGGCAGCTGGATCTCACATGGCCAACTGCGCAGTTCAAGTCTTGGACCTGGTGGCTTGAAAAACATGCTGGGCATGTGTGCATGTGTGCCCAAAATCCAGACAGGAGAATGGAGAAGGGATTATGGCGTGGCCATCTCCATCCCACCCCAGCACATGTGCTCCATAGCAAGTTTTAAAAAGGGAACTGCACCTAGACCTCGGTGTGGGAGGGCAGGGGCAGCTGCCAGACTCTCTCCTGCAAACAGCAGAGCTCCCGGCTGTCTCCTAGTCTGCAGAGGAATGTGAGGTCAAGTCAGAGGCAAGATCAGCCAGGATGCTGGCGCAATCATCCAGGTGAGAGAAGGACCAGTGAGAGGAGCTAAGACGGAGGAGTAATTGTAGGCGTGGGAAAGATGCAAACTTGAGTGGTTTGGAAAGATTTTTAAAGAATTTTTCAAGACAGGACCTGTTGTTGATTAGAGTGGAAGGAGAGGGGAGGTGTGAATGGATCTCTATAACATCATTGCTGGGTCCACGGACACTGGCTACAGAGGACAGACCAGACCTCGGGCTCCTGGCTTATGCAGAGGGCAACTACGAGGCAGTGAGACGGGCTCGGTGGTGGCAAAGCTATTGGGTCACGTAACACCCTGAAATGGGACTAAGAGCACAGGCCTCACGGCCAGACAGCCAGGATTCATACACCAGCTCCTCTGCTTACTCCAGCTGGCGATCTTGGGCAAGTTACCATTCTCCTCTGTGCTTCAGTATCTTTTTTTTTTTGGAGAGGTTTTTGCTATAGGGCGCGTGCACTCACCAGAAAGACAGAGAGAGACAGAGAGATAGCAAGAGAGAAATCACCCCCCAGGGGGGATGGCCATGCTGCAATCCCTTCTCCTCCATTCTCCTCTTGGGACCTTGGGCACGCACGCATACGCGCCCAGTGTGAGTTTAAGCAGCCGGGTCCGGGACCCGAACCACAGTCGATTACGTGGGAGTCCAGCGACATGGCCATTACACTAACTGCTGGTCCCTGTGCTTCAGTATCTTTGAATGCAAAATGGAGATGATACCTTCCTTACAGGAAAGTTTTGAAGACAATTGGGTTAATATTTATTAAGCACTTATGAAACGGCACCTGTTAGTAACATTATGATTTTTTTTTTTTAATTTGCTGTAGGGTGTATGTGCTCACCAGAGAGAGACAGGGTGGGAGAGGAATGAGAAACCCTACCCAGGCGGATGACCATTCCACAATCCCTTCTCCTCTATTATCCTCTTGAGATTTGGAGCATGCAGGCACATGTACCTGGCATGTCCCCCAAACCTCCAAGTCTGGGAATTGAATCATGTAGTTGGCCATGTAGGATCCATGTAGGTTAAGGCACTTAACCACTCTGTCACCTACGTGGCCCAAATTGTGAAATTTATAAAAGTGATTTAGGGAGCCAGCAGGTGGTATGGTGGTTAAGGTGCTAGACAATCCCACATGGCTGACCATGGTTTGAGTCCTGGACCTGGTGGCTTGCTTTCTCACTTTCCCTCTGTCGCTGTATCTCTCTCTGGTCAAATTAAAATAAAATGAATAAATAAGTAATTTAAAAAATATTTTAAATGTAGAAAAATTTTTTATTTTTTCTTTTCTTTTTTTTCTAGAATTATTTTTTTATTTAACTTTATTATTATTTTCCAGTTCAATCAGAGAGAGACAGAGAAAGAGAGAGGGAAAGCGAGAAAGCAAGCCGCCAGATCCAGGACTTGAACCGTGCTCAGCAATGTGGCAGTCTAGCGCCTTTAACCACCATGCACCTGCTGGCCCTATTTTTTATTTTCTAAAATAGAGAGGTTTTTGCTATAGGGCGCATGTGCTCACCAGAAAGATAGAGAGAAATAGAGAGACAGAAAGTGAAAAATCACCCCTCAGGGGCATGGCCACACCGCAACCCCTTCTCCTTCAGGGATCTTGGGCATGCACGCACACGTGCCCAGCATGAGTTTAAGCCACTGGGACCAGGACTCGAACTGCGGTCCACTGCGACCAGGACTCGAACTGCGGTCGACTATGTGGGAGTCTGGCAACATAGCCATTATGCTAACTGCTGGTCTCTAAGTGTAGAAAATTTTAACCAAAGAAAAACAAAAAAAAAATTACTTGGGACCCAGTCATAGTGACCAGGGCAGCTGGGCACTGCTGCATAATACTGGAGCCATGTGGGAAGGCTGGGAAGGCCATGGGTTCCAATCCTGGGTTGACCTGAACATGCTGGGCACACCTGAGACTCTGGCTGGCTGGAAGCCCGGTGGGAAGACTGCAGTGTGGTGAGGCCCTGTCGAGGGTGTCCTCCCTCCCTTTTCTTTGTCTTCCTCTGAAATAAATTTTAAAAAAGTGACTTGGCAGGGGCCAGCAGCTGGCGCATTGGTTAAGGTGCTGGAGTCCCACATAGACGGACATGGTTTGAGACCCAGACCTGGTGGCTTGCTTTCTCACTCTCCCTCTCTATCTCTTTCTGGTCAAATTTAATAATAATAATAATAATAATAATAATAAATGAAATTAAAATGATTCTTAAAAAAAATGTATTATTATTATTTTCCAATTTGGCCAGAGAAAGAGAGAGAAAGGGAAGTGAGAAAGAAAGCCACCTGGTCCAGGACTTGAACCACGGTTAGCCACAATGGGAGTCCAGTGGCTTTAACCACTATGCTACCTGCTGCCCCTATAAATAATTCTTTTTTTTTTTTTAAAGTGACTTGGCAGAACTTCATCAGCAAAAAACGGAGCGCCATCCCCAAGGAAACACGAAGCCTGGCAGTCTGAGTACTTCTGTCCTCCGGGTCCCCTTTGTCCATCTATGAGACAGAGATTAAACTAGTCGCTCCGATCCTGCCAATTTTGCTTTCTGTGATTTTTGGAGCTTGGCCAAAAATTTTTGGAATATGTGAGACCCGGCAGTAGGCTGGGCACGCCTATACTGGCCAGCTATAAAATTTTCAGGAATCTTGCAAGATAATATTACCACTGGCAACTTCAAGTTGGCTACGAGGGAAGTATTTACCCCGGGGAAATGGGGCGAATGTTACCTATAGGCCATCCCAGCCTCCCTCCTTTTCACCAGAGGTGTTCTTTGACCAGGCCAGTGGTGAGGTCGTCCCTTGTCCCACGTGCAGCGCCAGCCAGGTAGAGTCTCCCCCTGCAGCCCTGTCAATAACTGTGGGGACAATTACTGGACTCCAGGGACATGACAGGGCCCCAGCCTGGCTGCCCCCGCATGGCCAGCTCCTGGTGCTTAGGCTCCCGGGGGGCACAGGCACGGGCAGAGTGGCTGTCTGTCTGCCGGTTCTGTGGTTGAAGGAGGTACACGAGTCTGGCTGTCCTGGGGCGGACTTCTCATTAGGTCACTTCTAGCTGAGTGACTTGAGCCAAGTCCCCGTGCAGGCTTATCTCAGAAACGGGGATAGTCCTGACTCAGCAGGAGGGTCTCGAGGACGAGATGAGAACACAGGCAGAGTGAATGGTCCAGAGTAGCTATCGAGGCTGGAACCCCGACATGTTCTCCCCTCCTGGGGCACTGGTGGCTTAGGACACCCTCTCATTATCGAGCCCTGGCCCAGAAGGGATCGGCGAGTGCTGAGCATGCAGAAACAGGGAGAGGCTCTGTTTTCCAGCTTTTATGAAAATTAATAACATTAATAGCTCACAGACATATACATACACACACACTGCTATGTACATAGTCATTAAGTTATTAATTAGTCTCTGTATAAAACGTTTCTACATTAGTGTTCCGGGCTAGGCCCGATCAGTCCTTGGCATAGTCACAGTAGCTGCCCCAAGGCTGGGCCCCGAGGGCAGGCGGAGGGCTAGCGGGAAGCCCCAGAGTGGCGGGCCCCACAGTGAGCACGGATGGGGTCCTGGGCTGCTGGCTTTCCACTCTTCTGTTCCCTTCCTGGAACCTGGACACCAGCCGGTTGGCGAGCGAGCAAACAGGTCCTCCTGCTCCGTGGTGTGGCCTGGTGACCCAGGCCGTCTGCGTGGTGACCTCAGGCAACCAGCGGGCCCTAGAGGATGCTGGCCAGCTCTGTGGAGTCCGTGTCAGAGCAGCCCGAGCTGCTGGCTTCATCCCTGCAAGAGCCAGAGGAGCTGGGTTGCAGGAGCATCTGCCCCCTCCCTGCCACTCTGCCTCCTTCCTCGGGATCTGGGCCCTGTGGTTGGTGGTAGCCAGTTGGCTGGCCAGGAGAGGAGCTAGCGCACCCCACCACAGCCCAGGAGCTAGTGCATCTGTTCACACCTCTTGTCACAGACGGTGCTGCACACCCCAGAGCTGTACCCTGGCGGTGCTGGCTAACTGGCCAGCATGACTCACTTCCTCTGCCCTCTGGTCTCCGGGACACAGGGCTCAGGCCACGCCCGGGGTCTTGCATGCCAGGAGAGCAGCGAGGGGTGCAGGTTCCACAGTCAGAACGCCGCTAGTTTCACTCTCAGTGGCCGAACCAGTCACTCTGCCTGGTCACACCCAGGCTCTTCATTTGCAGAGTGGGAAGCTTTCTAATTGCCAGAGGGTACGTGCACTTACTAAAGAGACAGAGACAGAGAGGACCATAGGCTGGCCCCAGAGAGGGAATCTTAGGAACCTCTGACACCAAGCCCAACAGATGATATAATGGTTAAAGTGCTGGACTCCAACATGGCCGACCACAGTTTGAGTCCTGGACCCAGTGGCTTGAGACTCATGCCGGGTGCATGTGCATGCGTGCATGCCCAAGATCTTGAGAGGAAAAAGGAGGAAAAAGAATTTATTACAGTGTGGCCATCTCCCCTGGGAGGGTGACTTCTCACTTCCTCTCTCTGTCTCTCTGTAAGGTGAGCATGCGCACCCTATAGCACAAAGTTCTCTCAAAAATAAAACAAAGAACCCGTGATACCTGGGGGTAAAGGGCTACAGAGACCCGCGAGCACACTGCCTGACACGCGAGCTCGCTGCTTTCTTCTCGAGAGTCACTCTGGCTCGCAGGCACCCCACGAGTGCTCCCCGGTGAATGAAAGCCACTCAGCCAGAGCCACGTATGGGAGTTGCCGAGGGCAGGGGCAGGCAGGAAGTCTGAATGTGGCCACAGGGCACAAGGCGAGGGCTGTGCCGTGGCCTCCTCCACCACCCGGCCACTCACCTCAGCGCCTGCAGGGCCTTCTTATTCTGCCGCCGCTTCTCCTCGTCAATGGGGTAGAGCTTGAAGAGCAGCAGACCCACCAGGATGAGGGCGATGGGCGCCATGGTCACTAGCATCTTCAGCGTGAACTTGACTCGTGCCGGTTGGGAGCAGCCCCGGGTCTGGTACCCGGCAAAGCTGTGGGCACCGTGTGCAGGGAGGCCATGAGGAGGGGCACGGGCCCCACCTGCCCAGCCCCACCCGGGGCCCTCACCCCGCTTACTCGAGACTGAGGGTGGAGATACCCAGGGAGACGCCGGAGGCGAACTTGGTGAAGAAGACGTAGAAGGAGAAGAAGATGGGCTCCGTGCCCCGGGAGTGGGGCTGCTTCAGGTGGAAGTCGTCGATGACGTCGGGCAGCCTGGACCTGCGGCGGGTGGGCACACGTGAGGACCCCCGCCTAGCAACCCAGCCCCCACAGCCCCCGTGGCGGTGCCTGTGTCAGGCAGAGGCGGCCCTCTGGGAGCCTGGAGCACAGGCACGCGGCTCAGTGAGGGACAGCACTCTGTGTGAATAAGAAGACCCTTTGGGGCCGGCAGGTGGCGTGGTGGTTAGGGCGTTGGACCCCTGCATGGCTGACCACGGTTCCAGTCTGTGGACCTGCTGGCTCACGTTCCCTCTTTCCCACTCTATCTTTCTCTACTGAGTGCATAAGCCCTATAGCAAATTAAGTAATAATGATAATAAATAAAATAAAATAAAAATTCTTTAAAGAAAAATAGAAAGATGATTCCTTCCTCCAAGGCAGTGTGGCCTCACTCTAGGTGCTCAGCTCGGCAGGCGGAGTGCAGGCCAGGTGTCAGGCTCCACTTCCCACCCTGGCTAGGCATGCTTGCAGTTTACCGCCTGTACAACTGCACAGAGCAGATCTCCCACCCCAGCCTGGACCCACAGGATGGCCTGTTGGAGCAAGCCGCCCTAGAACTCTCCCCAGGGAGGTTCAGAGCTGGGGGTGGGGTCTGGGGAATATACCAGGTGGGTCTGTATATACGTACCAGGGTAGTAAGAAGGCAGCTGCCACACTGATGCCGGCCGCCACGGCTACCACATACGTGACGATTAGGTTGCTCTCCATGAGAGCCACCAAGATGAGAAATGGCACTGCCGACTAGAGGTGGGGTGCAGGAAGACGTGTCAGTGGGAGGCTCCCACCAAGAACCCCCAACTCAACCCAGGCCCTCCTCTACAGCCCCGCTTACTGAGATGCCAACGTATACAGCTGTCTTCTTGCCAAACCGGGTTAGGAACCACTGCCAGATGGGAATGGTGAACGTGGCCGAGAGCTGCAGTGGACAAGGAGGGTGGGGGAAGCGGGTTAGAGCCGTGGCATTCCTAGGGGAAGCGGTTGAGAGCCGTGGCTTCCCTGCCCTTTCCAGGACCCAAAGGTGCACCTAGCCCGGCCCAAGAGCAGCCGGCCGGCATCATCTGGGCAGCCAGGAAGTTGACAGGCACCTTGACGGCTCCTCTGGGGAGCTGAGGCACCCCGAGCTCACTTCCCGCCTCTCACACCCCTGCTTCTGCAGTGCTGACTGCTGGACTGTCCACCCCCCAGTCCTCTCATAGCTCCTGTGCACTGGCGGCCAGGGCCAGCCTGATATCCTGGAAAGCCTCCCTTACCCTTCATGCCCTCTGACTCCTCGGAGAACAAACCCACAGCCCATTCGCTATAGCCTAGGGGGCCGTCTCAGCCCCCGCACGCACCATGATGGCCAGGAGTAGATTCTGGAATTCGTTGCGGAAGCCCAAGGTGTAGGTGCAGAACAAGGCGAAGTTCCCCTCCACCAGCTGGAAGATGTGCAGGGCCGGGAAGGAAAAGCAGAAAGGAGGGGTTGTGGGGACCACACCTCCCCAAGACTCGCCCCATGCTCCAGAGACCACAGCTGACTCCCCAGTCCCACCTGCCCCATCCTGAGTCCTCGCCCTCCCCCCAGGTGGTGCACACCTCTCCCGCCCAGGGTGAGCAGGTCGGGTGTCCACTCACCATGAAAGCCAGGGAGGTGAAGAGGAAGCCCGCGATGAGCTTGACGTAGGGGCCGTGGCTCATCACCTGCCGGAGGCCCCGGAAGAAGGACATGGGCTCAGCCTGCTGAGTCTCGTAGGGTTCTGGGGACCAGAGGAGACAGTGAGGAAGCATAGGCCCCTCCCAAAGCTCGAGGGCCAGGGGCCTGCACCTTGCTCCAGGGCCTCTCACCTCTCTGCTCCCGCACGCCCAGGGTCAGGATGACGGCACAAATGACATAGATGGAGGCGATGACTCCTGCTGCCAGCAGGTATGCGTTTTGCTGTAGAGGAGGTAAAGGTGACAGAGACACGATCAGTCTCGTCTCCACCCAGCAGCCCCACGTGGTCATCTTCAGGGGGCCTCACTATCTCCATCTGTACACTGGGAGATCCCCGGCCTACAGCTGCTTCCCAAGGCTGGGTCAAGTTCAGAAGAAGAAAAAGCCCAGATGCCAGCTGAGCTATGAGTCTGAAAGCCCACAGTTCGTATCTTCCCAAATGCCAGCAATTCACTAGCTCTAGGACCCTGGGCAAATCATTCAGCCTCTCTAAGCTTTAGCATCCTTCTCTGCAAAGTGGGCACAGCGACCACGCTGACAGTTATGTCTACCAAGTGCTCGCTTCCTAGTGAACACTAGCTATCATTGCTAGTTCAGGATGACTGCAAGCACCTCATTGAGCCTCGTCTCCCCAGAGCCCCACCCTGCAGGGGCCTCACCGTGTCTTTGAGCGAGGCGATGCTGTGTGTGTGATTGGCACCTTCCATGGCCGCCTCAGAGCCGTTGGGGTCCTGGAGACAAGGCGTATCCGCTTGGCCCACGATTTGCCCCTGGATTGCAGTGCCCACCACCGTGCCCAGCACCTCCACAGTCATCCCTGGGCAAGAAAAGGTCTTTTGGAGGGGCCGCTGGGCTTGTAGGTCCAGGGAGGAGGGTCACATGGACAGGAGCACAGCTCTGGCTCCAGGAGAGAATGGTGGGGCACATGGCTCTGTGTGACCTCAGCTTAGTCCCTGTACCTCTCTAGTCTCAGCTGAACAACCAGAGATTGTGTTTATTTATTGTTTTGTCAGAGGGTGCAGGTGCTTCCCAGAGAGAAAAAGACAGAGAGAGGGAGATAGCACCCTCCCACACTGGAGTGTGGTCTTCCACATGCCCTCCTTCTCCACTTCTCCACCCTATCAGGATTTTGGGCACACACGCAAATGTGCCTGGTGTGTTTCTCAAGCTGAGAGAGCCAGGATTTGAATCATTGTTGGCTACGTGGAATCCAGCTCTCCTAACCACTAGGCTACAGGTCTAGCCCAGGATTGAGTTTATTTTAAGGTTCACATTCATGCTAAAGAGCAGAGGAGAACTGGGCCTACAGGAAGAGATATCAGGAGGGTCTGGGATCGGAGGGCCTGGGGCAGGGGGGTGTGATTAGGGGCGGGGCGGACTTACGATAGGCAGTGGCCGAGTCCCGCTCGCTCTGCTCTGTGCTGATGAACATGGTGAGAGCCGAGTAGGGCACGTGGAAACACTGGCAGGAAACAGAGGCCCTTGGTCCATCAGATGGATAGACTTCAGGCTCCCTGGAGACCCCAGGGCCTGCCCTCATTCCTGACCCCAGAGATGCCCGGGGAGGTGCCCACGCTCACCGTGACTAGCGTCTCAAAGAGGCAGTAGAATAGCAGGTACCAAAGGGCCTGGCCCTGTGGGAAGTCGGGCACGAACCAGATGAGGAAGTAGGCAATGATGGCCAGGGGCGTGGAGAAGATGATCCTGAGGAAGGGAGGGCTGCATGGGACCGGCACCAGACACAGGAGCAGGCCCAGCTTACTGCTTTGTTCCTGCAGCGCCTGCCAGGGAGGAAGTTCTTCCCCCAGCATCACCCACCCCAGGGCTCCTGAGAAGCAGCAGATGACCAAACCCAGTAGAGCAGACTGGTGCCCGGGTCCTGAACTGAAATCGCGGGCTCAGATAGTAACAGTGTCAGACCCTGAGTCTCCTCCATGTCTTCCTAAGAGGAAAGAGCACAGGGGGCAGGGGCTTCCCATAGGCTGGGGAGCTAAGAACGGGGGCTAAGACCTCGGCTGGTAGGCGGAAGGAGCAGGGAGGCAGGCGGAAGGAGCAGCCTCCACATTTATGTGTCCTCGCATGTGCACGTGCATCATTTGCACACACACATGCATGTCCCATTCACACACATGGGGAAACTGGGTGGAGTGGGGTGAGGAAGACCAAGTCGAGGTGAAGGAAAAATGTTGGAGCCGTGTGGGGTACTGGCTTAGGGAAGTGACTGTGAGAGGCCCAGTGTCTGTGCGTGCCACACCATCACGAACAGCTAGGTCTCCAGGGACCAGCCTCATGGCCACAGGATAGAAAGGCAGCAGAGTGCAGTAGTTCAAAGAAAAGCCTTGGAACCACACCTATGGACCCAGTTCTGGCTCCACCAACTAACTGTAAAGAACTTTACTGTGAGGTGGAGTGGAGGAACAAATGGCATGGTGGTTATGGTGCTGGACACCCACCTGCTGCCCATGGTTCGAGTCCCAGACCCAGCAGCTTGAAAATCATGCCAGCGAATAGGCGTGCATGCCCAAAATCCCAAGGGGAGAATGGAGAAGAAGGGATTACGATGCGGCCATCCCCCTGGGAGGTAATGTCTCACTTCTCTTTCTCTCTCTCTCTCTGGAGAGAGCATGAACCCTATGACAAAAACCTAAGGGGGGAAAAAAAAAGAAAAACCTTCGTTGGGAAACCAAGGGATTGCACAGTGGTAAACACAACTGGACCAGCCAGGAAAGGTCCTAGGTTCGCGCCAGGACCTCCCTAAGTATGCTGGGCGCACATGCCTGTGATCCGGGCTGGCCGAGGCTGGGGGGGAACTGTGGCACGAAGACCCGGTTGGACGCACCTGCCTCTCTCTCTGCTCCTTTCTTTCTACCTCTCACTCGCTCATGGAAAAAAATCAATAGATAAAACTTTAATAGAAAAAGAACGTAAGAACTTAAGCAAGTTAACTTCGCTGAGGCTCCCTTTCTCATCTGGAAAAGACTAGTACTAGCACATACCTTACATTCAACATTTACCTGAGAAATATTTATTAAGTGCCCGCTGAGGGCTGGGCACAATTCTAATGACGCAGGACAGATCAGTGAACAAAACAGACGGAGAATCATTGCCCTTCTGGAGTTCACATTCCAGTTGGCAAACAGGAAAATACAATTTAAATGATATATATTATTAGTCTTAAAGAGATAAAATTATGACACATGCTACAACATGGACGAACCTCAAGGATGCTGCACTAAATGAAATAAGTCAGACATAAAAGGACAAACACTGATTTCACTACTATGAGATACCCAGTGTAGTGAAATTCACAGACAGGAAGTAAAAGGATTGTTGCCAGGGACTAGGGAGGGGGAACCAGAGAATTATTGTTTAATGGATATAGTGCTTCAGCTTGGGAAGATAAAAAGTTCTGGAGATGGAGGTGGTGATGGCCACACAACAATGTGAATATATATATATATATTTTTTTTTTGAGAGGTTTTTGCTATAGGGCGTGTGTGCTAGCCAGAAAGACAGAGAGACAGAAAGTGAGAATTCACCCCCCCAGGGGGTATGGCCACACCACAATCCCTTCTCCTCCATTCTCTTCTTGGGATCTTGAGCATGCATGCATATGCACCCGGTGTGAGTTTAAGCCACCAGGTCCGGGACTCAAACCACAGTTGACCATGTGGGAGTCCAGCAACATAGCCATTACACCAACTGCTGGTCCCTGAATATGAATATATTTGATGCCAGGCCAGTAGGTGAGGTGGAGGTTAAGGTGGCTGGATCCCACATAGCCGACTGTGTTTGAGTCCCAGACCCAGTGGCCTAAAAAAACATGTTGGGCGTGTGTGCTTACATGTCCCCCAAAACCTGAGAGGTGGGGCCAGCAGGCGGTGTAGTGGTTAAGGTACTGGACTTCCACATGGCAAACCAACATTTGAGCCCTGGACCTGATGGCTTGAAACTCACATAGGCATATGTGCGTGGCATGCCCAAAATCCCAATAGAAAAATAGAGACGGGATTGCAGCATGGTCAAATATACATATATCATACAATTGACCATCATAACCATTTCTTTAAGTACATAGTTCAGTGACACACACACATATGTATATATATATATATTGTTTTTGTTTTTCTTTTTAAGTTTTGCTATGGGGTGTGGGCAGTTGCTAGAGAGATAGAGAAAGTGAGAAATCACCCCTAGGAGAGATGGCATACTGCAGTCCCTTCGTTCTTCTCTCAAGATTTTTTTTTGAGAGATTTTTGGTATAGGGTGTGTATGCTTGCCAGAAAAACAGAGAAAGACAGAGAGACAGAAAGTGAAAAGTCACCCCCTCAAGGGAAAGGCCATGCCACAATCCTCCTCCTCTGGGGATTTTGGGCATGCATGCACATGTGCCCAGTGTGAGTTTCAAGCCACTGTGTCTAGAACTCGAACTGCAGTAGGCCACATGGGAGTCCAGGGCCCTAGCCACTGTACCACCTACTGGTCCTATTGACCAGCTTTTTATTTTATTTTTTAAAGATTTATTTATTTTTTATTTTATTTTATTTATTATTCAATTTGACCAGAGAGCAACAAGGAGTGAGGGAGAAAGAGAGTAAGAAAGCAAGCTGTCAGGTCCAGGACTTGAACTGCCGTCAGCCACATAGGAATCCAGCACCTGAACCACCATGCCACCTCCCAGTCCTGAACTTTTTAAGAGGTTATACAACATGTTAGAAGACGGTAAGCACTTGGAGAAGAGAAATAAAGCAGGTTGTGAAGGATCAAGGTGAGAACAGGGGTACAATTCACAATGGGTGATCAGCGACGGTCTTATCAAGGCTTGAGAGAAGAGTAAGTCAGCCTTGTGGACATCTGAGGCAAGTGTGTGCCAGGTAAGGAAGGGGTGAGTCAGTGCAAAGGTCCTGGGGCAGGAGCGTGCCTGACAGGTCTGAGGAGCAAGGGGTCAGTGGAGCTGGAGTGCGGTGTGCAAGGATGATGGAATTAGGAGATGAGCAGAAGAGGAAGTATGGCCCCCTACAGGCCAGCGGAAAGGCTGAGGTCCTCCTTTGTAGGGCTGAAGTCGTTTTTGAGACTGGAGTTGATATCTAGTATTCGGGCTACTAAGTGTGGTGTGATTATCACCTCTGGGAAGCTCAGCGGGAGAGCCACACCTGGGAACTGGTGTGGGCTGCAGCCTGGGGGACCGCGGAGGCCCCAGGTCCCTGTGTAACTCCAGGGCAAGGGACTATCCAGGTCTTCCTGTTTGAAGGAGATGGTTTTATTTTTATGCTGGGTTGGAGGGAGTGGGCAGGAGACAGAGGGCCTGTTCATACTGCAATCCTTTTTCCTTCGATTCTCCATCCTTCTGGGATCCTGTGTCCAGGGTGTGGACACCTTTTCAAGCTTCCAGGGGCAGTGATTCGAACCCTGTTCAGCCATGTGGGATCCAGCTTCCTCCTCCCAGAGGTGGGCTAACTGCTACTGGCTCCATGAATGGGAGGATTTAAATGCAAGCTTAGAACAGGGACTGCCTTGGGGCACAGCAGGAGAGAGGGCCCCAGGGCTCATGAACCCCACACAGAAAAGAGTGACGTCTTCTGGCTTGGGGAGGGGCCCAGGTGTCAACTGTGGGATGGACAGGAGGTCACCCGCTGCGCAGACCCTGGCCAGGGTCCACTGAGACACAGGTATCACCAGGCAGGTCCAGGCAGACACCTGCTAAATCAGAAGCCAGCCTGAAGGGCTCCCAGCTTCCCGAGAGGGTCGTCACGCTTGCCCACAGAGAGTCCTGATCTTGCCTTCCGCTGGGAGAGCCTGCCGGCTGTCATCTCCCCCTCTACCCCACCGGAATCCACCGGTCTCCTCGGAGAACCGGGGCTCCTCATTAGCCTTCCTCAAACTGGAACCCGCAGTGACTGAGAGTAACCCGCGCTGAGCCGCGTGGGGCTGGCGGGCAGCTGCTGCCATTGGCTGGGACCCATGAGGCGATGTGGCTGCTGCCCCGCCTTCCTCCCCGCTGCCAGGGCGGCAGGCACTGGGCCAGGTCTCACCGGCTGGCGCTCCCGCTCAGGGAGCCCCGAGCTGCCTGCGCAGGTAAGGCGGCGGGCTATCCTGCTTCCAGCCCTGGAGCCTGGATCAAAGGCTCCAACCTGGGCCTCAGCCAGGGGCAGGCAGGATTGGGGTGGGTGGGGGGGCCTCGTGGGAAAGGAAGCTGTGGCGGGGGGGGCGGGGGGATGTGGAGCTAGAGATGAAAGGGGCAAATCACCCCAGCTCCCGAAGCAGGATGTCCTGGAGGGAGCTGGAGCCCCGCCCACCGCCAGTCCAGCGAGCCTCCCAGGCTATCTGATCTGTGGCACCGCCCCCCACCCCCCTTGCCCCACAGCCTGTGCCTGGGGACCTCAGACTTTGTACCGATTTAAAGGTGGCTCACATCACCTAAGGTAGCAGAGGTTATGGGCCAGCTCCCCCATTCCCTGTGTGAACCCCAACCACAGCTCCACCAGCAGCCAGGCCAAAGGCGTGCCAAAGTATAGAACAGGTGCCAGGAATAGCTGTAAATTTCCAACATACTCCAAACCCAAAAACCATAATCCTCACCACAACCTTGTGAAATAGGCATAATTATTAATTCCATGGGAAGGTTCCTGGTTCAAGTCCGGAGACCTCCCTGAATATGCTGGCATGCACTTGCCCATGGTCTGGGGCTGGCTAAAGACTGGATTGCTCTTGTTCATGAAAAAATAAAATACATAAATAAACTTTAAAAAGAGAAATTCGAGGCTCAGAGGTGTTAAGTGACCTGCTCAAGGTTGCACAGCTTTAGATAGTGACGCTGGGATTCAAACCCAGGCAGGCTGGCTCCAGAGTGCACTCTCCCAACCACTCTGATGTTCTACCTCTGCCACTAAGGGAGGTGACTGAGTGGGAGAAGGCAGGAGTCCGGTGGGTGGTGGCGAGCCGTGGGCCCTGGGCTGGGGGAAGCGGCCTGGCCTGGGATTGAACTGGCTGGGTGGCCCGTGCCCGTGCCTGGGGCAGCTGAGGCTTCGGATGGGGTTTCAACACCGCTGGGCTTTTGCATCATTCCACTTCTCCTCACCCTCCAGTGTAAGCAGACCACATGGGAGGACCAACGGGCTAATCTGCTCAAGCCCCACCAAGGAGCCCACCCCACTCACCAGGGCATGAGGCGGCCCAGGCGGGTCCAGGATGACTTGCTGATGCAGAAGCCCACCAGAGGGTCTGTGAAGGCATCCCAGGCTCGGCCCACAAACAGAATGATGGAGGCAGAGAAAGGGTCCACCTGCACGGGGAAGAGGCACCAGATAATCCCTCACCCTTCTCACCGTGACCTGCAGCAGGGGCAAAAACAGGGGTACCCTCCTGCCTCAGCCAGGTCTTAAACACCTTCACTGGCCTTTGAAATAATGAGGGTCTCTTTCTCCCCAGGCACTGAGCGCCTCCTTAGAATCCTCCCCAGACCCATCCTTATTTCCTCCCCTTTACTGTCCTTGGAAACAGTCCCATCAATTAGAATGACTCCAGGATCATTTCCTTCCCTCCCCCTCACACCCTGAGCCCCTGGTCACCTGGTATGAGAATTAGTATTCACTGGGTGGCCACAGTGGGCCTCAGTTTCCCATCTGTATTATGGAAGTTTTGATCTCTATCTTTTTTTTTAGAGATTTTTGCTACAGGGCATGTGTGCTTGCCAGAGAGACAGACAGACAGAAAGCCAGAAATCACCCCCCAGGGGTGTGGCCATTTTGCAATTCCTTCTCCTCCAGTCTCCTCTCAGAATTTTGGGCATACACACCTATGCTCCCAGTGTGAGTTTTAAACCACTGGGTCTGGGACTCGAACTGTGGTCGACTATGTGGGAGTCCAGTGATGTAACCATTACATCAACTGCTGGCCCCTTGATCCGTATCTTAAGGAATCTTTAGATGCTTTTTAAAAAGTGGCCTGTCACTATCCACTCAAGCCCTCCAGGCCCTACACACAGATTCCCTGGACTCCTCCTTGCCCATAAAAGCTTTGCTATTGCTATTGTTCTGGGGAACCCTCTCCCACCCCCATTGGTCCCCGTATGATCCCCACCCCACCTGCTCTAATACTCACTACAAAAGTTTCACACTCTGACTGCAGGGTCCTCATATTTACACCCCACTCAGGGCCCAGGCCTGGGAGTTGCTTGGAAACTAGCAGCTGAATGAAGCCATTTGTCCTTTCTGGGGCTCAGTGTTCCCCACCTGTAAATGGATACAACCAAGGTGCCCTGCTGGCCAAGTCTGCTGCTACAAAGTAAAGACAGCCAGTGTGGGAGCCCTGGTCACTGTGGCTTTTCAGCCTCCCACTCTCCCATGAGACAGAGCGGATTCTCAGGATGCCAGCTGCCAGCCAAGGCTTCTCAAAGCACAGAGTAGCCCTGCTTCAGCCTCAGAGAACCCCTCCCAGGCAAAGACCTGGGAACTGGGGCTGTCACCGTAACTCAGCCTCGTACTCGCAGTCCCTGCTGCCCACTAACATGCCCCTGCTCCTCAGGTGGGCTGCGCCTGGCAACATCCGCCCACCCTGGAGCCACGCCAGCTGACTGTCTCCCAGCCAGGGACACGGTGCGCCTGTCTCTTCTGAGAACAGCATCCCCAGTGGGGTCCATTCTTCCTCACGCTGCCGCCTACCCCTCCAGGCTCCTTTGCTCTTGCCAGGCAAGGAGGAGTTGGCAGACCTTGCCAACGAAGACTCCTGGGGCACATAAGTCTCCCCTCCTGCGGACTTTGTAAAGACCTATTTCTCATCCCCTGCGACTAAGAGGGATTCCTCGGCTCATTTTGCAGATGGAGAAAACTGAGTGAAAACTCCCAGGGGTCCCTAGTCTTGCCCACCTCAGGAGACTAGAGGAGCCCTGAGGACCTAGCACTCACCTGAGCCACATCCAACAGGTAGATCTGCAGGAAGAACCCCAGGGCACAGCCGGTCACCTGGTAGGGGGCCCCCCCAACTGCATAGCAAAGCTTGTTGCAAACTGACAACTGTTGTTTCTTCTTTGGTTCCTTCTAGGAAGAATAAGAAAGGATGAAAAGAGGCCCAAGGTCCTGCCCTCCATCCTAAAAGGTTCCAGAGGCCAGACCACCCTTCCAGCCAATGCTGTAAGGAGGAACAGCACTGCCTTACCCTGTTCTCCCCAGATCCCACTTTTAAAAGAAAAGGGAAATAGGAACCTGGAAAAGGAAATCCGTACTGCTGAGGAAGTTGCCCCTCAGCCACCCCCTCCCCAGAGTCTTCTTTTTTATTGGAATTATTTTTATATAACTTTACTTATTTATTATTTATTTTAATTTGACCAGCGAGGGACAGAGTATGTGAGAGAGAGAGAGAGAAAACAAGCTGCCAGGTCTGGGATTTGAACCACAGTCAGTCATGTAGAAGTCCAACATCCTTAGCCACCACACCACCTACCAGCCCCAAGATTATTATTTTTTTAAGGGAGATTTTTGCTGTAGGGCACATGCACTTGCCAGAGAGACAGAGATACAGGAAGTGAGGAATCATCCTAGGGGGGATGGCCTCACTGCAATCCCGTCTCCTCTCAGGATCTTGGGCATACACACACACGTGCCTGGCATGAGTTTTAAGCTTAACGCTGGGTCCAGGACTCAAACTGTGGTTAACTACGTGGGATTCGAGCGATGTAACCATTACGCCATCTGCTGGTCCCCCCTCCCCAGAGTCTGAGGAAACTTATCAGCCCACCAGCCCTAAAGAACTACCCCTCAGGCCTCAGCCACTGTTCCTTTCCAAGTCACAGGGAGAAACATGCTCCAACAGCAGACCTGTCCCCACCCGGTACCACTGCCACAACCTGAAAATCCTCTTGCTGCCAGGAGCTGCCTGAGCCAAGCCCAGGCTCCCACCCTGGCTTAGAGGCCAAGACCCACCTGCCTACTGTGTGGGAGCTCTCCAGAGCTCCTGGGGCCCGCCCAGCTGGCTGCAGGCACAGCTGTTCCTTCCATCTGTGCCAGAGCGTCCTGGAGCTTCAGGCAAACCCAGGCGCTGTCCTACCTCCAGCTCCCTTCCCTCCCAACCCCTGGCTCCTAGGGGACCTTGGAGAGGGGAAGAAAGGCCTCCAGGTGCAGGACTGGGCCCTCTCTGGGCGGGCGCTAGGGAGGTTGGCGTTGCCCAGGGAAAGCAGAGATTACTAATACATGGTAACAGCATAATTGCTCACCTCTGCTCCTTCCAAGGATCAGTTAATAAAATTAAAAGGAAAGGCGGTCACCTCCCAAGCAGACATCTATTGCTTGGTTTCCCTTTCTGAAGCCACCTGATTTCATCCAGTCTATCACTAGGTCCAGAGGGCTGGGGATGGGGCAGACGGTGGAGACGCGGAAAGCACCCTGCCCGAACACCGGCACTCAAACCATGCGGCTCCTTTAAGAGCAGAGCCCTTGTTCTTATGAATGAACTTGAGCGGCCCTCACAGCAAAGCTGAGGCTCAGGAATAGGCGGGTGGCGGGTAGGGGGCGAGAGATGGAGAACCAGTTTGGGGCTTTCCAGATTTCTGGGATCTTTACATCTTCTGGTGCGGCAAACCCCGGCCGCTCAAACCCGCTAGGTAGAGCCGGGCACCACGTGGAGCTGCCGGCAGAGCCCCGCCGCAGAGATGCCGAGTAGGGGTGCACCAAGAGGGGGCGCCAGTACCTACTCACCGTCTCCACCACGCCGTGTCCCTGGGGTACTTATGGACCCTGTCCTGCCCCTAGGCGGCCTCCAGCTATCCCGTATATCCCAGGACCGAGCCTATCCCCCAACGTCCGCATTCCCCATTCTCAGCCGGCTCCCCACCCTTCGCCCTCCGCTCGGGGTGCCGGGCCCTCACCTTCACCTGGGCCGGGCGTTCACCGGCTTGGAGGATGCCGGTGGGCAGCAGACC